CTGAATGTCAGTTTATCTGCCGCAGTGTACATGAGCCATAACCCCCCGTTGACATCTATGAGGCCGTGCGGGCCGTGTTTTGCACGGGCACGAGAGCCCATTCATTTGAATGGACTCCCATGCCCGTGACACGCAGGGAAGAAGTCCCTGCATTTCTTTGGAAAACGCAGCCCACACAGGAATCTCGGTTCCCAGTACGGTTGCGTTTTCCAGTGCAGGTGGCTTGCCATTAGAACTAATGGCCCTCGCCCGCGGGTCCGCATTGCACTGTGCGGGTGGTGCCGCTGCACGGATTTTCATACGGATCCACAGTGGCACCACCTGCACAGATGTGAACCTAGGGTTAGATAGGCAGTGGCTGAATCCTGTACCTAGTGCTACTCATGTTTAGCAACATATGCTTGTAATGCAGGAATTCTGCATACTGGATACCCATTTCTAAATGCATACAGCCCTAAATGTGAGTACCACTAGCTACAGAATCCAGCTGCTGTGTATTTCAGTCTGTCATAGGTTTTTGAGAGACACCTGACATAGCTAGATGCTACACCTGTGCCTCATGGGTGCCTGAAAATGCTTGCCTGTGATGCACATGGGCTAATCACCCAATGTGCGTGTAGCCTAAGGGCTCGTTCACACTTGACTGTTTTACCAACTCTTGCCAAACGCCCCTATAGTGTTTGGGCAAGCGTTGGTCCGGCATTTGCAGAGCATTTTTTTAATGCTCGGTAAACACTCTGCAAACGCCGCATGCGCGGTTCAGCGGCGGTTGCCGAGCGTTAAAAACGCCCCACAAACGCCTATAATGAAGTTTGGATGGTGTTACCCGCTCCGCAACCACACCACGAACACCGGCCAGGCGTTTGTGGAGTGGCACCATAGACTAAAATAGGAGGCTTCAACGCCTCCTGACTCGACCAGAGGCATCCGTTTTGCCGCGCCACGACGCTAACCCGCTCCTGTTAGAACAGCACCATGTGCTGCAATGGGCAGAATTGTCCGGGGCGTTTGGGAAGCGGTAAAAACGCTTCCCAAACCCCTTTCTGCCGCTTGAAAACAAGGCTAGTGTGAACGTAGCCTAACTCACATGGCAGCACGAAGCACCATACAAAACTTTTCAACTAGTTTTGAATAGGTTAGAAATATTTCCACTCATTTCATGTGTGAGAAGATCTCCCCGAAAGTGACACTTAACGGTTATCTGCGAAACTGCTCTCTCCAGTCTGAGATTTCCCCTCTATGCTTGCTCCATTGACTACAGTGACCATATATCTTCCAGACAGCAATAAAAAAATCAGGAGAGGTGCTATTTCTAGATTAATTATTAAGAACATGCCACCTTTGTTCTGGCATCATCCAGGGTTAGCATCTATATCCTGTCAACTCAGAGATGATGCACTCTTGTAAATCCTGATGTCCATGGAGCTTGTGTTCATAAATGTCTGAGAAAGATCAGCCCCTCGCCCTCTGCCTTGCTAACAAATTTACATTTTTGCAGTTTGATCATTGGGGAAGAGAAGACTGAGGAAATGCTTTCTCCTTCCTGCAGCAGACTGATGGCATCATCTCAGCCTAGGCATATCACAGGAGCACCAATAGGAAAATCTGCATTCTTCCTGTATATTGTAATATGTGAGGAATCTATTCTAATTTCAAAAAGTCCACTTTAAGACATATATGTATCATTTTGCACTTGAGCAGCTCAGAAATGTTTCCTTCTACCTTTTATAGAGCCAAAAGTTAGCTCTAAGTAGAATTCACTTTGCAGAATTCCATCCAGTTCAGAATAACTTCTCATATTGCCAAGCATAGTGCATCATGAGCTCCCCATGTCCATTAGCCATTAAAAGCATACAGCCAATGGTGATAGAGATTTCTGTTGCATAAAGGCTAATAGTAATTGGCTGCATTCAACTACCTGTAATGTAAAAGATGTTTCGTAGTTTCTCCAATCCCATTTTCTTCAGTTCCAGTGTTGGGAAGAAACACCAGCATTTGTATTACACAGGTAGCACAGACACCTAAATCCAATCATCATGGAATTTGCAGAAGTTTACAACTCAAAAAATGACTTGGAGAAGCTATGAAATGTCTTCAACATTTCATTAAAAGTCTAGATGAATGTGACTAACTACCTGTACCATGGCCTGGATAAAATGAGGGCCTTCACAGACATATGGGTTTACATTTTTGTAGGTCATATTAACCTCTTCACGCTGGCTGAACACAAATGTACGGCCTCCTGGCGTCTGGGCCTAGACGCCGAGCGGCCGCACATTTGCGTTCTATTAAAAAAGAACATGTGCTGAGAGCGTGCACACATGTCCAGTACTCACGGAAAGGTCCCGATCTCTTTCAATCAGGACTTTTCCCGATCATGTGACCGCCGTGATGGCGTGTCACGGCGGTCACATGACCCTAAAACCCCGCCCCCAGCTTCTGAAACCCTTAAAGGGCCAGGAGGCGCCGGCGCGAAGGTGTTAAATAATATACATCCTGTATCTGTTAGCATATTTCAGGTAATTAGTGGGTTCAGCCCTTACCTGCAATGTCATGGGCTAAGTCCTTAATGAGGTGACCCACAATGGCATAAGCAGCTCCTACCACAACTATTCCTGCCATGAGCAGGTAGATGACAGCTCGTGGGAGAGGGATGATCTCGAATTCCATGGGCTTGTAGTCGGTGTAGGAAGGGTTTTCATTGGAGACAGAGTACTGATATGCAGAATGTGCCTGGAGGTGGCCACCAGTAAGGTTGATTGTTCGCAAATTGGACATAACTTCCATCTCCTAATGCAAAGAATATTTAAGTTAGAATTATTTTCAGACTTTACAGTCAGAATCCAACATTTCTTATTTCAAGTTAAAATCCATGCATGTTAACTATTATATCTTTCAAAATATATGTAAATCTGTTCAGACACTCCTGCAATCAATGCACAACATACTGCCAGAGAGTAACTACTCTTTACCCCCCCCCCACCCCCCCCCCCAACATTTCAGCTTACTGTGTCCTTTGGGCTATTGACAGCAGATTAAGTCCAAATGTTCTAGGTGTCACTAGGCTTTGGAGAACAGGGAGCATTACAAGTTTTGGTGGAAACTTGATTTATGCTCCTGATGCAAAATGATGGATCTTTTTTGTACGGGATTGTTTTTTTTTCTGCTTCGTGAACTGGAACAAGCATACAACCAGAGCTCATGAATTGCATGCTTCTTCTAGGTCAGAGTTTAAAAGTCATTGAATCGGCTGCCTACATGAGAATGTGTCTACTCACCAGTGCTTTTGTCTAAAGACAGGTCTGTGGTTGACCTTGACATTTTTTTTTTTTCTAATTTAATTATATACACTATAGAATTTTGTAACACGGTATCTTTCTCTCTGCACAGCAGAAGTTGTTTTTCCACAAAAACTGTGGAGCACAGTGACATCCCCAACCAGAGGTTTGTTTGCAAACGTCCATTGCTCAACATGATTGGCTGCCATATGGATCCCATGAATGGGGACCAAGTGGATCGTTCATTTGAAAACTGCTGCTTCCAACAAGAGTGCGGTCAAACTTTTAAGTATACAGTTGTAGCATTAATTAACAGGTTTCAGACATCTAGGGATTAAAGTAAATCTATGCAGAGAAAACACGTAGGCAGCCGATTCAATGACTTTTAAACTCTGACCTAGAAGAAGCATGCAGATCATGAGCTCTGACACTGGTTGTATGCTTGTTCTAGTTCACTAGGCAGAAAAAAAATAATCCCCGTACGAAAAAAAAGATCCATAATTTTGCATGGGGAGCGTAAATCAAGTTTCCACCAAAACTTGTAATGCTTCCTTTTCTTCTCCAAAGCCTAGTGACATCTAGAACTGGAAAGCTGATGGTAAGCACACCCCATATACAGTTCTCTGGCCTTACTACTGGGCTGTATATGTTAGCATATTTCAGGTACTTGGTGGGTTCAGCCCTTACCTGCAATGTCATGGGCTAAGTCCTTAATGAGGTGACCCACAATGGCATAAGCAGCTCCTACCACAACCAATTCCGCCATGAGCAGGTAGACGACGGCTCGTGGGAGATAGGTGGACTTGGCAGCCAAGAGTGAAACAAGAGATGGAGAAGGGGTGGGCCATCCAGTGATCCTATTGTTTCTAGTTGGTATCAGCAGTAGGCAAGTGTTGAAACTTGTATAAATTAACACTAAATATCACCCATGGCTTGTCCAACAAGGCAGCGTGGAAAGCCTATTGAGACCAGTTGAGTGATACCCAGGGGCGGACTGACAACTCATGGGGCCCCCGGGCAATAGGGGATCATGGGGCCCCTGTGTCCTTGCCCACACTCAAAAAAGCCTATAAAAAGGTACCAGGGGCATTTCATGGGGCCCCCTACTGACCCAGGGCCGTCGGGCAGTGCCCGAGTGCTTGGATGGTCAGTCCGCCCCTGGAGATACCCCTATTGAACTGTCATGTGGTAGAGGTACGACTTACCTTACTATATGGACCAACACAACAGAGCAATGAGACACATTATAGCGAGGTGAGCTAAAAGGAACCAAAAGCCCATACTGTATCTGGTAGTCTATAAGCCCTACTTACCACAGAAGTTATGGGCTCCGTATGCTGCACTGGGATGGTCAGCAGAAACAGCTGTATGAATATTATGCTGAATCTGTACTATACAATAGCAGTTTGGATGTGCAGTTGACTATGGGGGGCAAAAAGGAATGATTTGCTTGGCTCTGCCCACTGTGCTAAAAGAATAAATCTCTATTTTTTTTTTTTACTTTTGATGGAAGCAACACTAGCAAATACCTTCTAATTTAATAAAGCTCTACTGTGTTTCTACGGAGACTGCAAATATGCTATACAAGGTCAAAAAGGATGGTCAGAGACTGCCGCCATGATACAAGATATGGTCAGAGACTGCGTACTTGGTACAGGAGATGGTCAGAGACTGCAGACATGGTACAGGAGATTGTGAGAGACTGCAGACATGGTGCAGGAGATGGTCAGAGACTGCAGACATGGTAGAGGAGAATGTGAGAGACTGCAGACATGGTGCAGGAGATGGTCAGAGACTGCAGACATGGTACAAGAGATGATGAGAGACTGCAGACGTGGTATAGGAGATGGTCAGACACTGCAGACATGGTACAGGAGATGGTCAAAGACTGCAGATATGATACAGGAGATGGTCAGAGACTGCAGACATGGTACACGAAATGGTCAAAGACTGCAGATATGACACAGGAGCTGGTCAAGACTATAGATGTAATTCAGGAGATGGTCAGAGACTAGAGACATGATGCAAGAGATAGTTAGAGACTGCAAATATGACACAGGAGATGGTCAGGGACTGCAGATATGACACAGGAGATGTCCAGAGACAGCAGACATGGTACAGGAGACAGAGACTGCAGACATGGTATAGGAGATGGTCAAAGACTATAGACATGATACACAAGATAGTCAGAGACTGCAGACATAGTACAGTAGATGGTTAGAGACTGCAGACATGATACAAGAGGTGGTCAGAGACTACAGCCATGCTACAAGAGATGGTCAGAGACTACAGATATGGTACACAAAAATGGTCAGAGACTGCAGACATACTTCAAAAGACAGTTATAGACTGCAGACATGGTACAGGAGATGTTAAGGATGTGCAGACATGGTACAGGAGATGGTCAGAGACTGCAGACATACTTTAGGAGACAGTTATAGACTGGAGACATTTTACAGGAGACTGCTAGAGATCACTGCTGTTACAGCCCCTTTACAAATCATTGCCTGTGTGCTCCCTACACCCCCCATAAAAAACTATTTGTGCCACATGTGCTATTTCTCTCTACAAGATTCATTATAAAAGATCAAAGAAAAAGAAAGGAAACAGCACAGATAAAAGTAACTCAGTGTCCTAAGAGGCAGCCTAAGGAATATATTTTCTTTCTTTGGCTTAAATAAGCACCTACGTAAGGAAAACGTTGACTTCCGGCTACAGGGACCCAAAGGGCCACACAATAAATACCAAGGGCCACAGGCTGGGCAAGAGGGTTCTACAAGCTATAATGTAACTATGCCTCTGTGTGCAGCAAGGTTCCTTGTATACCAAATAAAGAACAAAAAAGTAAAAATAACACTTACTGCTTTTCTGCTAAACAAGAAGAAAATCTCCTTTGAGAAGGTAAGTCCAGGCTGGTCCGGTGTTTGAATGGTCTCCTTCCAGCTCTAGCTAGCCTGCTTGTACTAAATGATAAGAGCTTTCTCATTAATGTGTCCTCCTGGCAGAGGAACAAGTCAGAACTCCCTATCTGTGATTATACCAGCGGATTAAAGGGGCCCTTCCAGAGAGCTGCCAGCTGTTCCTGCAGCTTAAAGCTCCCTGTCGCAGCACACATTTCATTTTTCTCCCGGTGATTGTCTTCTAGTCTTTCATAATACATTTGGGTCTAAAGCGTGTCATCAGCTACATACAACACGTGCATGCTATGAAAGGGGTTTCCTGCTTTCACAGATTTATCCCACCGCTTTTGAATTTCCTGCTGATTAAAGGATGAGTGCGTTGTTAAAATGCATTATCTTTCCTAAAGTACACCTCTGTAGAAAGAAATATGCAAACAGCCATTGCTGAGCTTCTGAAAATGCTAGGCACCTTCAGGTCTATAGTCAATTCTACCCCCTCCCCCAGTCTGTAATGGGTGTGTGTCCCTTTAAAGGTGAGGGGTCCCTCTTGGGTTTTGCTGAGTAGTACATTGTGCCCATAATACTTGATTTATCTGCGGTCCTCTCTTCGCTACATCCATTCCAAGTGCTGAATTTATAAAGTTTTCTGAGAGTTCAGAAAACAGTGGGCGGAGAGCTGAAATGATTCTTGCAAAGCTCAGTGAGCAGAGCTCTGAGAATTGATTGGAGGGAAGAGACCCCCTTCACAAAGCACACAGAAACAGGACTGATGCTGTCAATCTGCTGGAAGTCCCTCCCCTGTCATTATTGTTCTCTTGGTGTCAGGAAAACTAGTCAGAAGTGATTAATGCAGTGGTGTATTTAGGTGTCGTGCTGCCCTAGGCAAAACAAAAATTCTCACCACCTCCCCACAAAGAGAGCTTGCATTTGACCAACACCCCAGCCCCCTATCCCACCCAAGAGAGCCTTCCACTACCACTGCCCCCCATACACTGGCAATGCCCCCTCCGACCCTGCGAGAAAGAAGACACTCACCTTTACAGCTCCGGACATCCCTGGGCACAAGAGTTAGGCTCTGCCTACACCATCAAGCAGCCCACAGCCTCTTTCAGATCCCTCCTAGTCCCCATGCTGCGTGTGTCCCTTCTTCCATACCTTCTTTTGGGTGGGCAGCACTGCCCCCCTGAAAGATGCCGTTGCCCCCCTGAAAGATGCCGCCCTAGGTAAATGCCTTGTTTGCCTTGTGGTAAATACGCCCCTGGATTAATGCTGATAGCAGAGGAATGAGGCAGCAGACAGAAATGACACTTAGTGCTCTTCATTAAGATAAATCCATACTATACCGGGATATGCTTTGTTCATATTTCATGTCTGAGGTTTACAACTGCTGTAATCCCATAATACAATTACGACATAATTACATATCACATAATTATAATTAGACCTTACAATCTCTGTATAATCAAGCTTAGATCTATCAAAAGTATGTAATATGAGGTCCTACCTAAACGATTCAATCAGTTTCCCATCAGGAAGGCACTTGCACTTCATACTTGTTTGTAGACCTAAAAGAGTTTGGAAGTTTGTTGTATTCCATCTGTGAAGAAGCAAAACACATTGTTTTGGATATATTGTACAAGTTTTATTTTCCTAAATTAAAAGCAACTAAATTTATAAACTGCTGCTTTGGATATTTTAATTTTTTTTAAATTCTCCTGATGAAGAAATCTGAGCAGGGAAGAGTGGGGTTGGCTGATGAAGAAACCTGAGCTGGGAAGAGTGGGGTTGGCTGATGAAGGAACCTGAGCTGGGAAGAGTGGGGTTGGCTGATGAAGGAACCTGAGCTGGGAAGAGTGGGGTTGGCTGATGAAGGAACCTGAGCTGGGACGAGTGGGGTTGGCTGATGAAGAAACCTGAGCTGGGACGAGTGGGGTTGGCTGATGAAGGAACCTGAGCTGGGACGAGTGGGGTTGGCTGATGAAGGAACCTGAGCTGGGACGAGTGGGGTTGGCTGATGAAGGAACCTGTGCTGGGATGAGTGGGGTTGGCTGGTGAAGGAACCTGTGCTGGGACGAGTGGGGTTGGCTGGTGAAGGAACCTGTGCTGGGATGAGTGGGGTTGGCTGGTGAAGGAACCTGTGCTGGGATGAGTGGGGTTGGCTGATGAATAAGCCTGTGCTGGGACGAGTGGGGTTGGCTGATGAAGGAACCTGAGCTGGGAAGAGTGGGGTTGGCTGATGAAGGAACCTGTGCAGGGAAGAGTGGGGTTGGCTGATGAAGGAACCTGTGCTGGGAAGAGTGGGGTTGGCTGATGAAGAAACCTGCGCTGGGACGAGTGGGGTTGGCTGATGAAGGAAAATGCGCTGGGATCAGTGGGGTTGGCTGATGAAGAAACCTGCCCTGGGAAGAGTGTGGTTGGCTGATGAAGAAACCTGCGCTGGGAAGAATGGGGTTGGCTGATGAAGGAACCTGTGCTGGGACGAGTGGGGTTGGCTGATGAAGGAACCTGTGCTGGGACGAGTGGGGTTGGCTGATGAAGGAAAATGCGCTGGGAAGAGTGGCGTTGACTGATGAAGAAACCTGTCTGGGAGGAGTGGGGTTGGCTGATGAAGGAACCTGCGCTGAGAAGAGTATGGTTGGCTGATGGAGAAATCTGTGCTGGGAAGAGTGGGGTTGGCTGATGAAGAAAACCTGCGCTGGGAAGATGGGGTTGGCTGATGAAAAACCTGCGCTGGGAAGAGTGGGGTTGGCTGATGAAGGAACCTGCGCTGGGAAGAGTGGGGTTGGCTGATGAAGAAACCTGTGCTGGGAAGAGTGGGGTTGGCTGATGGAGAAACCTGCAATAGGAAGAGTGGGGTTGGCTGATGGAGAAACCTGCCCTGGGATGAGTGGGGTTGGCTGGTGAAGGAACCTGCACTGGGAAGAGTGGGGTTGGCATCTATGTGGATTTTGTCTTGTGGTGTAGATTAGTACAGTTCTGCCAGACTGTTCCTGACGGTCAAGGGTATGGAATGTGATCCTTATGACCACTATGTTGGCCTCGAGTGATCTGGGATTCTGGAACCCTGTTCAGGAACTTGAGGAGCACCAACAGGACTAATAAGGAGACCACTGCGTGGTCCTGGGACCTAAGCTTCCTCTGTGATCAGATGTAGAAGGAGAGTCCTGTGCTCAGGATGAAAGTCTTGGACGGTCCTGAACGGAAGGGTACAGGTGTGTGGTGTGCCAAGTATTAACTGTTCTAAAGAGGACAACCTTCATGATATCCCTCCTTACATGTCCTCCCCACTCCTCTGTATGCCATTTTTTTTTACTATATACATTTTTTACAGATTTCTTCTGGATGGTCAAGTGATGACTACGGGTTCTTCCTCTTCTTTCTAAGCTATTTTTTTTTCAAAAATAAAACTAAAATTGTCTGTAGGTTAAAGTGGCTGTGAACCTCAGACATGAAATACGAACAAAGCATATCCCTCTATAGAAGCCTTCACTAAATGGCGGACCATGGTCTGGATCCAGACCTACTGACAGCCCATTCTGGACCATCATCCCACCATTTTTCTGTGCTGGATCTTCAGTAAACTGCAGTCATTGGTTGTTAGAATTGAAAGCATCATAGCAACCTTTGGCATCATGCGTGTGCACCGCCCCCTGCAGCTTGCTTCTCCTTCCAGCTCTCGCCCCCATTTAGCTCTAATGGACTCTACTGATCTATAGTGAGACTCTGATGGGGGAAACCTGCTGTATGAGGGCACTCTGAAGGGGACACCTGATGTAAGGGGCACTCGGATGGGAACATCTGATATGAGGGCACACTGATGGGTGAACCTCATGTATGGTGACACCTGATGTATGGGGGCACTATGATGGGGACACCTGATATATGGGGGTACTCTAATGGGGACACCTGATGTAAGGGGGCACATTGATGGGAACACCTGATGTATGGGGGTACCCTGATGGGGACACCTGATATGAGGGCACACTGATGGGTGAATCTCAAGTATGGGGGCACTCTGATGGGGACACCTGGTGTATGGGGACACTCTAATGGGGACACCTGATATATGGGGACACCTGATGTAAGGGGGCACTCTTATGGGGACATCTGATGTATGGGGGTACTCTGATGGGGACACCTGATGTAAGGGGGCACCCTCATGGGGACACCTGATATGAGGGCACATAGATGGGAACACCTGATGTATGGGGGTACTCTGATGGGGATACCTGATATGAGGGTACACTGATGGGTGAACCTCATGTACAGTGACACCTGATGTATGGGGGCACTCTGATGGGGGACACCTGATATGAGGGTACATTGATGGGAAAACCTGATGTATGGGGGTACTCTGATGGGGACACCTGATATGAGGACACACTGATGAGTGA